AAGAATATGCAGGCCGTGAAGAAGACAGCTCAAGGCATCATGATGGAGTTGGAGAGCGGTCGACACCACTGCCAGCAGAAGGTCCTCAAGAGCAGCTGGGATCGCCCCATGAACACGGCACTGGAGCATAGTTTGAAACAGCTGAAGGACGTGGACACTGGCGACATGATTGATTCCGAAATGCTTCGACGCGAAGTGGAAATGCTCAAGTTGAATGCTGAGCGTGAGTCGTTTGCAGCTGTGGCCGAGCAAGACAAAAACGGAGATGCTCCCACCATTCAAGTTCTGCTGCGAGCCCACTTTGAGACTATCGCTGCCATCGAGAGCTTGAACCGCATGAGCGTCGAGGAGGCAGTTGAAGCTGCCAACCAGATTTTGGGAAAGATGATCAACTCCGCATCTGGCGCAGCATCATATGTCGTGAGACCAGATGGAAGTCTTGCCCCTGTCGAGGCATTTGGGCCGACCAAGGCTGGCACCCCCAAACGGCGCAAACAGAGCATCAACAACTCCATCCTGGACGGGAGTCCTGTGAGAGTGATCAAGCCTCCGGCGGTCATGGCTACTCATCTGATGACATCTCCAGCCAGAGCCTCGCCTAGACGTCGTGGTCTACTGGGAAGCGCAAAGAAGGGTGTCCAACTATCCTTCACTCCGAAGAAGAGAAAGTTTCCTCCCAAGGGCATTAAACGAGCTGTGCGATGGAAAGACGACATTGAGGATGGTGCACTCGCGGAGTTTGAGAAAACGCCGCAGAAGGTTCCGTCATCGGATGAATCGACCACCGAAATCAGCATCCCTCAGGTGTCAGACCTGACCTCGTCCTTCTCGAAATTGCAGACACACTCTCCCAGTTCCTCGCCCATCCCACCTCCGCCCGAAGCCACTCTCAACATTCAGCCGAAGAGCAGTCGTTTCCAGGCCGGATTTCTGTCCAAGAAATATGATGGCTCACCCCTCAACTCAAGCATGCTGCCCCCGAAGATGACACCACTGTCATCCTCAGACAGCGAGGCCTCACCGTTGAGGGAAATCGATCCGAGCAAGGCGTCGAACCGTCGCTCCTTCACTCCCATGCAGCCTAGCAATCACACCTCAGATGCACGCCATGACACTTGTCATACTTCCCCAGCGTCGAACTCGGACACCGAAAACCAGAATAGCTCTGCCTCTGATAAAGAGGATGCGCTCAAGATTCGCGAAGCCGTAAAACGCTCTTCTTCCCTTCGCCGCTCAGGTATCCACGGATCTCGGACTCAACGTCGCCGCTCGCCCACCGCAGCAACGGCGGGAGTCGCTGCGTCTCCCACCAACGAGTCGATGTTCGGTGCCGGCCATGTTAGGAGAATGGTTCATGGCACAAAGAACGAGCTCTTAAAAGAGAACGACGCAGGGTCTTGGAAGGTCGGGGTGCTGAGTCCCCGGGTTCAAGGCATTGTTAGCCATGGTAAGAGCTCCCTTGTGGCACCATCTAATCCTATTAGGCGGACGACGATGGGAGGCCCCGAACGTGGGGGTGGGATTAGGCTCTCTTCTGTCGTCTCGGGGGCAAGTGCTCACGGACATTCGAGTAGCAGAGGAAGTTTAATGCCTACTGGGAAAGCTGTGTGGCGTTGATGGAAACACTCTGCGAGGCGGTCACTGTTAAAGGGGCCGGTCATTACTTGCACTCTTGCACTTTTGTGTTATAGACTTGTGGTTGAAACTGCGACCAGAAGCAGAGGCTGAAAACTGGACATTGGAGTACAGGTCTTGGACACGGACTGGACGGGGGCAAATGGGATGGCTGGGACGACATCAAAATGAGGATTATCATGAACGGGGTTGATTTTTTTGGTTCCTGGATGCAATTCGTCTTGGACTCGCGCAGTTGGAGAGAGTCTGTGGCCTCGATCCTTGACTACTCAGACCTCCTCGACCAGAGACGAAGGGCTTTTGTTGCTCCTGTTTGTACATCAACGAGACGCCTCTGCGCCGTCTGACCGATGGTTGCGAGCTGATTTCTTAGCTGTGCAAACCGTGTGGAGAGACGATGCTCTTCAATGCGAGAAGCCTTGTCCTTGTTTCGGACTTTTGCTGGTTCGACGTCAAACTATTTCACTGAACTGAGATTGAGCCTGGAATTGACTGGTAGTCGATGACATTTCGGACATGCTTTCTGTGTAGTCATTAATTATTGGCATGGAGGATTGAATTATCCCTGTCAGTCACACCGTCCACGTGAAACCAAGCAAACCTCTCGCTCGTCAAAAGCCCCCTTTGGTCAAGTCATCGAGGTCCGCCATGACGTTTTTGCTCTCGTAGACCTTCCACTGCTCCCGTGCGATCGAGTCCGTAAAGTCCTCGTCGTTCAACATGTCGACGTCGGCGTCGGGATCGTCGACCGCCCGGCCGGGAAGCTGGACGCCCTGGTCCCAGTCGAAGAAGTTATCCTTGTCCCAGAGCTCCTTGACCCGGCGCAACTCGTGGCGGTTGTCGCCAAAATAGGCCCTCTCGTACACGCCCTTGGCGAGGATGCCGTCGGGAAAGTTGACAAAGGCGGCTTGCTTCCCGAGCGAGTAGGGGCGCAGTTCCTTCTTGACCTTGCCGAGGAAGCCTCGCATGTCCCGCTCCATCCACTTGTCCTCCCACTCGAGCGTGACGTAGGCGTGGTAGACGGCCTGGCGCCAGAAGAAGGCCGTCTCCGACGGTTGCTTCTCCATGGCCTTGCCGCCGGCGTGGATCCAGGTTACGAGAAACTCGACCTTCTCGCCCGAGTAAAGCCGCCGGAACGTCTCCATCTCCTTCTTGATGATGGCCGTCAGGTTCTCGATCGTGGTCGCGTCGTTGGTGAAGACGAACGAGCTGTAGATGCTGTACGTCTTGTTGGTCGGGAAGGACCGCACCGTCTCTTCGGACCACTGGGCCACGAGCGTCTCGTGCAGGAACCGCGTCGATTCTTCAGGCAGTGAGCGTCGTTTGAGTTGCTTGGCCAGGTCGGCGTGCTTGATGTGCTTGTCGATCAGGTTGTTGAACTCGTCTTTGTTCCCGTCAAAGTACGTCAGGAACCGGATCCCGTCGCCCGTGTTCTGGCGGAGGTCGCAGAGCCAGGTGCTGTCGATCGTGATCTTCTTGGGCCAGTCGGTCGTGTAGAAGGCGTTCATGGTGGGGATCAACGACGCCATGTTCTCTGCATCGGGGAACCATTGGTAGCGTCCAGCCACCACGACGCCGTCGCGGTTCGACAGTCGCTGGACCTTCAGCTTCATGCTCACCAGGACGCCAAAGTTCCCGCCCCCAGCGCCACGGAGTGCCCAGAAGAGCATCCCTTCCCGCGAATCCCGTGGATGGTTTTCGTGGACGGTAACCTGGTCTCCCTCCGCCGTCACTACAGTGGCTTCCATCAAGGTATCACTGCCCATCCCGAAGCTTCTGGTAAAAGGACCAAGCCCGCCGCCCATGATGAACCCGCTGACGCCCACGGGCGGACATCTCCCGCCGTTGATTATGAGGCCGTTGCCTTTGCGTCTGTTGTTGATCAGCGTTTTGTACACGTCGCCCCACTGACAGCCGGACTCCATTGTGACAGTCTCCAATTTGGCGTCGAGCTTAACGTTCTTCATTCTCCTCAGATCGAGCGAGATGCCCCGGAACGCGGTCGAGTGTCCGGCATACGAATGACCCGCACACTTGATGGTGACTTTAAGCCTCCTCGACTTCGCCTGTTTGATGATGGCCTGCACCTGGGCTGCATTCTCGGGCTGTATCACACAGTCAGGCCTCGAGAAGCGGTACAGCAGGTTCGGGGTTGCCACAGAGCGCTCATACTCCTCATCCTCCTTTTTCGGACCGCCAGGGCTGAACACTGGAATATTTGCGGACCTCAAGATCTCAATCGCTCGGTCCATGGTGATCAGTATTGGGATAGAGTCGAGAGGGACAGCCTTGAGCGAGTGTTCGCATCCGTGAGTTCCATGATCCGAGTAGACCACTATTGGCTATTTGACCGTCCTGGCCATGCAGCCGCATCCTCCTTCGCAGCTCTCGCCCTCTTTGTATCTCCGAGCTGGCTGACAGATTGCGGAGATGCTTTGTAGTCATCAAAGGGAGAAAGGATGAGGAGGGGCACAGCCACCACCAGGACCCCGAGTACGAGAAGCATGGGGAACCATATCACCAATGAAGGATGCCTCGCTGGTTTTTGGTCTCGACCTCATGAATGCCGAGTATCTTTTGTTTGGTCCAAAGCAGACCGGTCAGTCAGGTAGTGGAGCATGCTTAGAAATGTGAAATGCATCGCGATGTCCTCATCAATGTTGCTTGAGGCTGTTATAACGAGGAGGAAGAGGCCGGACTCGTCTCATGGTCCGTTGCCATGCCTTCCTAATGTGGTTAGCGACCCCCAATAAGGTAAAGACTCGCCGCTAGTGTGGACACCCAAGGCTTTTCGTCGTCGCACCAGGTCCGACTTGACATCAAACTGCAGATTCTACACCATACACATTGGGTTGTTTCTCTGCCGGTATTGAACACTCGGGAGTTCTTGAATTTCCTCTATCGCCCAATACGGGAGAGGCAGCTGCACGTTCGCCTCTTTTCGACAGGGTGGATGACGTGTCGCCTTTTCTCCCGCCTATGGCCTCGAGCCACGCGAGCCCAATGTCTTCCCCGCTCGATAATTCCGGCCCCCTTCTATCTCAGAGCCTCACCAAAGGTCCTGATAGTCTCTCTATCAAGCACGCCGTTGTGTTCTCCTTCGTAGGGATCGATGGTTTGGTGGTCAGCCGTTACTAGCACATGTGGGGCATAGTAACCGGTGAGGCATCTTCGTTCCTCCGCTAACACTGCAACAGCAGCGTTTGGGATTCCGTTGCAGCATGGAGGCTCCACGGGGATAGTTGCACCAGGGTAGACTGGTATTTATACTCAAAATGAACATGTCCTGCGTTATTTCAACCCTCTCTTGAAATTTCTCAACCGCAGAGCAATCGAGGTTGACGGAAGCCAGACATCTCACAACAATGGGTATCCATGAAGATGCTCGCAGAGGGACTTTGACCGAGGCAAGGCTCGAAAAGTACCTCGAGGCAGATTGGACTATTCTCGACCAGCGAGACTCGGTCGAAGGTGTGACACCACTTGGGGCTGCCACGGTAGGAGGACAGGCCGACGAGGTCCTGTTGCTTCTCAAAAGCGGGGCAAAAGCAGACATTCTCTCCAGAGATGGTGCAACACCTCTCCTCCTTGCCGCATCAAGAACGGAGAAGAACCGTGCTCGCATCATCCAATTACTCCTGGCGAAGACGCCTTCCAATGCCATTGACGCAACAACCGCAGCAGTCGGAAACAATACACCATTGATGTTCGTTGTGCTGAAGAAGGATGCCGAATCCATCAGGCTACTCCGAAAGGCCAGAGCATCAGTGACACTGACAAACGATGATGGTCACACCGCGAAATTCTTGGCCGACAATACTTACGACAGGGTTGTTATCCGCGCCCTCAACCCAGAGAAGGAGCAGAGTGACTTCTCCAAGTTAATCGACATGGTTGTCGGACTACTCCTGTTTGTTGTTGCATGGGTCAACAAGGTCGCTGATGATGTCATCCGTCGGGCGTATGGTATACATATCGACCTCAACGAGGCCTGGGACCAGGTATGTGCCAACGCCTTTCATCGCCAGCATAGTTCCAAAAGGGTTGTCTGCTGATGGCAAAAGTAGGCTGTGAACCGTGGCGAGGATCCAACCACGGTCGAATTCGTGGAAAAGGTCGACGAGGTTGTCAAGGACTCCCCCATAGAGCGTTTCTTCGAAGGCAAGGAAGACTTTGTCCGTGAAGTGGCAAAGAACGCTGTCGAGTTGCAAAATGACACGACGACATCTCTCGGCAGCCCAGAGCTTTTGCCCAAGACTATCAAGGTGTCATTGCATCAACAAGTCATCTATTGCGGTAAGTGTCTCGAGTTCCAGTCCACTGAAAATACGTTGTCCTTTGACGGAAATCGCATAGATGACAGCGGCTCTATGAGACGCGAAGATCGCTGGGATTCTCAAACAAACCTCGTTGAGCGCATTGCCAAGGTCACCACTCGGGTCCTCCCTGAGGGTGAAGGCGTTGCTCTTCGATTCATCAATCAGGACGTGCCCAACTCGTCGAATCTGAGCCTCGAAGATGTTGCCAATATCCTGGGACCCATGAAGTGGTCGAATAGTGGGAATACCGATATCGGCACCAACCTGAGATCCAAGATCCTGCAGCCGCTTGTCTACGACAAGCTCGAGTCGGTGCCGAGGAGGCTCGAGAGACCACTGCTCATCTCTATTCTCACCGATGGTGGGCCTGAACCGGAGCCAGAACCTACGTTGAAAAATGCCATTGTAGAGTGCAGCCAGCGGCTGGATGCTGCCAATTATCCCCGCGAAAGTAAGTATGAGTATTCCAAGCTCATTAGTGCCAGATACTGAATCTATGAACCTGCGCAGGCGTGAAGTTTATGATCGGTCAAATTGGGACTTCGAAATTCGCGACAAGGTTCCTGCAGACTATCAGAGAGAGTGCAGAGATTGCGGATATGGTGTACTGTACTTCAGGTGCGTGACTAGTTCTTTGCCAGACTCACCTCATCTGCTAAACTCGTCGCAGATCAACTCGATGAAAGATTCAAAAGGGAGTATGACAACCAAGCCAATCTAGATCGATGGGTAAGGATCGACCCCGCTCTGCTGCGCCCCTGTTCCTGTCTGTTAACTCCGTATGATCCAGCTAATCGAGACCTTGTTCGAGCCACTCAAAGACCGGAAGACGAAGTTGGAGGGGTGGTCTTGACTTGACCTGCTCTGGTACATTCACGGAGGAGGAGAAGGGCAGGAAACAAGTATGCACGAGAATGATAGTGATTCAGGGACCAGATTGCCACTGCAGAAGATTACATTTCGATGGTCCAAGCATGTGAGCAGGCTTCGATATTAAAGACGTCTTCTGTATCACGGTCTCCGCAGGATATTCGCTGCCGTTGTACGAATGGACAGTAGAAACCAGGGAGGAAGATAGCTCAATACTACCTCATGGGCGTATTATGTCTGGTATCTGTGGTGGTGAATACGCAACTAATAGAGAAGCCTCAGTCCTCAGCGTATTTGTCACACACGACGAAGCTTGATAACGGAATCATCGTGCAAGGGGGGACAAGGGGAGCATGCTTGGCGCCATCTGAGAAGGTATTGCGGATAACAATGATATGCCTCAAACACACGGACGTGCCCCCAGTACTTAACCTAGAGGGGTTTCGCCTAGTGAGCCTAAGCCATTAACCCTCTAGGCACCCCCGAGCGCCCCCGTTGAGCCTTGATGCCCCGCCCAATCGCCCAAGCACTGCCTCCAAGAAACTGTCAGCACCACCGGCTGCTCCATCCCGATCCCTCGGTGCTCTCCTCCAATGACGTGATTGATCTTGAATCGTCGCCGCTGCTTCCCCCTCCCTGAGAAACAAGAAACTTCGACAAGCAGCCGAAGAGGCTGTTTGCGCCGTTGAACATCTGGAATTGGTCGATTCAGAACTCGTATATATATTGCCATTCCCCTCCTCAACCAAGACTTTCCTTAGATTCAAACACCCAAACAGTCGCCAAACTGCAGCTCAACATCAGCGACCTCTCCCCCTTCAACATCCTCCTTCTCGTCGTCGTGCTCACCATGGCTTTCCAAATGCCTTCATTCCTCTCACGCTTCCTCCGCCCGTTGAGCTCTGCGGCATCAATGTCCCTCCAACCCGATGCCCTAGCAGCTATGCAATTCCCTCCCAACTCACAGAGAGCCATCTTCGCTGGCGGGTGCTTTTGGGGTCTGGAGGAGTTATACCGCAAGACGTTCGGCGACGGCAAGGGTCTTTTGGACTGCAGAGTTGGATACACCGGTGGCCAATCCAAGGCACCGAGCTATGCCGAAGTCTGCTCCGGACGAACTGGCCATGCCGAATCCCTCCTGATCGTCTTCGACCCGGAACGTCTTTCGTACAGGCAACTCTGCGAGTTCTTCTTCAGGATGCACGATCCGACCACCCTGAACCGACAGGGCGCCGACACCGGCACGCAGTATCGCTCTGCGATTTTCGCCGAGAACGACGAGCAACTCCAGATTGCCGAGGAGATCAAGAAGAAGGTCGGCGAACAGTGGTACAAGGGCAAGAACATCACCACGGAGATCAAGAGAGCGACGCAGTGGTATGATGCAGAGGCTTATCATCAAAAATATTTGATCCCAGAGCCCGGAAAGGATACATCGGGATTGTACCACTGCCCTGCGCATTATCGACGACCATTCCCGGATCTGGTGTAATGCGACCATGAGTGGGTGACAAGAGAGAAGAATTTCGAATATCAACAACAGCGCAACCCTTTGTCACCAAAAATTGTTGCATTAGATGTGTTTGCGATAGTTACACCGAATATGAGCATTGGTATCACAAGACCCGCAACGACCTAGATGATTTGCCTGATCATATCCTTGCGCTTCTGTACGCTATAACGACGTATGTTCCGTGCTGGGTCACCCCCACATTTCTATCGAACTCCGCCTCAGAAGCTAGAACTTCGACGATAGACTACTAGGTATGATTCGCGGATTGCACCGCCCTGTTGCTCTGCCAGCGCCTGATCAACTTGCCAACTACTCTCAGAGCAGAACAGGGCGGCACGGCACGCACGGGAGAAAGGTGATAATGGCTCAAAGGCAGGAAATGGGTCACATCTACGAGGTAGATATCTCATCACCAGTTCCGAGTACTTGAGAAGACATTCTCCACCGCCTACCCACATACCTACATACCTACACTCCTGTCGACACTCCATCCACATATCTGTCCTCGCCGTATCCGTTCACTGCGTCTCCCTTGTACCGATTCGGCTATTACAACAATCTACATCGCCACGACACATACGAACTTGATCACAGGCCAAGGGAGAAAGGACTATCTCTCTCCCGATCCATCCATTCTTCAACCCTCCCATCTCTCTATCTATTCATCGCTCCGCCAGCACTGCATGGCGACCTTCATCTCCGTCGGCAACGGGGTCGTCGCCAAAGATGGCGTGGCCGAAGGCGAGGCCGCGCAGTATCAAGCCCTCAAGCGCCAGGTGCTCGCGGAGGAGGAGCGCAAGAAGCAGGAGGAACGCGAGAGGCGGGTCAGTCAGGGGTTGCCGCCCGAGATGACGCGGGAGGAGAAAAAGGAACTGAAGAGGAAGGAGAAGGAGAGGAGAAAGAACGAGGTGGCCAAGGGGAGACAGAGGGAGGGGGAGGGCGAGAGGAGTAGTGGGAGGAGGGTGCTGGGGATGCTGTGTTTTGGCCCTTAAGGGATGGGTTCTCAATTGTCTTTTATTGTTTCTCTGGATACCTTCATCCTGCGCATTCGTAAAGGCGCGACAAAAGGTTACAGCCTGCTAGGCATCCTCACAGCGCCGTCAAGTCGAATGACAAACCCGTTCAACATTGGGTTCTCCACAATCTCTTTCACAAGCCGTGCGAATTCGTGGCCCTCGCCCATACGCATGGGGTATTGGATCATTTCGGTATTTATCCCTGCTCGTGCTCCCGTACTCTGTTTTGGCTTTTCAGCGCCTTCCTTTTTTGGTCCTTGTTCCGGCTGCTGCTTCTTTGGTTGCGTGGTCAGTCCGGTCAGGAAAACACCTGGTGCAATGCCCATTACCCGGATACCAGCCTTGCGGCCCAGCTCTCGAGCTAGCGGGAGGACGATACTGCGCACGGCACCTTTGCTCGCGCTGTATGCTAGCTGGCCAACTTGGCCTTCATATGCCGCCACGGACGAGACTATAACGACGATCCCTCGCTCACCATCGGGTCCCCATGGTGTGTTTAGCGCCATGTGCGGTAGAGTGAGGCGAATCAGGTCAACTGTGCCCCGGAGGTTGACACCCAAGGTGCGATCAAAGCCAGACATGTCCATGTATTTAACGCTTTCATGCGTCGTCGACGGGTCCTGCTTAGGAAGAGCCAGAGCTGCTAAGCCAATGCCTGCAGAGCAGATGACCCCAGACAGCGGTTTTGTGGTGCCTTGAATCCATTTTAATGTATTCTTTAACGCCTCTTGTAGTGACTCGGTAGATGCGACGTTGGTCTTTGTGAAAAGAATTCGGGATGGGTCAAGGGAGGTGTTGGAGGGCGGAGGATTGAGATCGAGAATGGAGACGTTGGCGCCGTTTTGGAGGAAGATGACGACAGTTGCAAGACCCAGGCCAGAAGAGCCTCCGCTCACAATGAAGGTGCGATCCTTAATCTGCATGGCTGCTCTATTTCAGGGTAGCCTTGGAGGAAATATGAAGTGCAAAGTATGTATTGACGGAAGATAGAAGAGAGAGGGATACGGCAGGCCCGAAGCACCTACCTCGGTTCGGGCGTGCACGTACATGTGCTCGGCGTGGTGATACCCACGCTTCCAAGTTGAGATTGTGATTGATAACGAATATGGGATTCTTCTACTTGTTTAATTGATACGAGCACATTGGTGACTTGCTTGGAGAATGAGGGCCAAAGGGCTGTTGGAGCTGCAGCTGTGGTGTCCCCCTTTAGTCAAGCAGCTCACAACTGAACATTGGTGGTGATGAATCTAAATAAAGCCTATTCGGCACGTGATAGCCCAATTTGGGTGATTGCCCTCCCTGTCACGGCGCCGCCACAATGCCCCCAGTGCCCCTTAAGCTTTACCCGTACCACTAGTAATTGGCGGGCCGTAGGAGCGTGCGAGCAACTGCCCGCCTCCCGCAGTCCTGGATCTGCGACGTGTGGGCGCGGAGACCGACCCTGAAACCTTTCTGATTGTCCTAAGAACGCCATCAAGACACCTTCAGTGAACTCTCGTCTCTGAGTTGGGATGATATGTCAACGGGACACTCTGCAACTCTGGGAGCCAAAGCGCAGAGCGTTGACATCTACAGTCTGAGTGAGCTCGACGCACAATTGACACGGACCTGATCGTCACGTCACTGCACACAAGTTCATACGCCAAATTTCCCCCGCCCCCAAGCCTCAAGCACAATCCAACTCCAAGCGAACCAGGCTGATCTGATTCAAACCACCACATACGCCTGTCCGCAAACCCCTCAAACACAGGTTTGGAACCGGACAGGACATCAAGCACTTCGCTTCAAATTCCTTCTATTTCTGCAGACAGAGATCAAATTCATGACCATCTCGCCCTATGTCCCTTTCCTCCAGCCGCTCGAAACCGCTACCCACGCGGAGCGTCCACAGTCTCAGAAATGGAGGAAGAGCCTCCAGAGACTCGTCGATGGTCCGCCGGAAATCCATCAACGCTAATGATGCCTACCTATATGCCCTACGAGTGGCCTATCTGTCGTACCTGCTCCAACCTCGGAAAACAAGAAAGAAACATGTCGAGACGAGGCCGGCGGTCACTCGCATGAACACTTCCCACTCCTTCAATGACCTCATGAAAGATTTTACAGTGGTTCGAGACGCAAAGAGTGCGAGGTTCCCTCATGACTTCATTAAAGAGCTGGAAAAGAGACTGCAAGGCATCCTGATGGGCAAGGAGAGACGGCAGGAATACCATGAGCCTGTGGTCAAGAGGGTTTTTGCCCTCTTCCTCAACACTCTGTCCGATCCTGTTTTCAAAAAGCGCATGGAGGCTGACCGAAGGGCTGAGGATCTGGTACTCATCTTCTTCTCCACGGCGACCAAGGAGTTGCAGAAAGGTCACCCGCCTGGGGATGACGCTGTCAAGCGCTTGGTTGACCGCCATGTCGCCTTGTTTGTTCGCCTTCTTTCCCTGATTCTTCGGGATCGTGACTGGGCTAAGGACAAACCCGACTTGGCTGCTCGGCTGCAGACTCTCGAGTCCAAGTTGTTGAAGGGTGATGAGAACCTCGCCGCATCTCAAGCAAATGGGGAATGGACCACCATCGAGGAGGTGGTACCTCTCAGCTATGAAGTCAAGGACATGCCTCTAGTTCAGGCGGTGGGGCGCATTTTTGGCCTGACCAACACCATGATGCAGTCAGACATCACAAAGAACAAGCCCGTGTGGACAGAAAAGGCTGCTCTTCAAGATCTGAAGACTTACCAACAGCACCTCACTCTGGGGACGAAGCTGACCTTAAATTCCCACGACTTTGACACTCAGGAGGCATACGAAAGTTGGAAAAGAAGCGAAGGCCCAGACCTTTCGCAGCTGATGCTGGCCATCATCCAATCCAATCCTGAGCTGGCCAAAAGCACTCCAGGAGGCGCTTTGCCTCAGTTCAATGCCCAGAATGAGCCTTCTAGCCCCTCGGATTCTCATTATGCTGAGCTCTCCAGAGCCCTCTCACAATCTGGGGACTCTTCTTCTTACGTCTTAGATCTGCCGGCAGATCTAAGCTCCCTTCAACTGGACCCGGGCGATTCATTCAAGCATGATGATGATGCTGCCCAAGTCTATACATTTATACCCTCTGACCCCAGAACCATGTTTCGATTTGTTATGCTTCAAGCTCTTAACCATGACCTTAACGATAAGATGAATGGCAGCGGCAGCGGCCCGGAGGGTGGCCGCTTGTTCTCCAAAGAGACTACGGAGCTGCTGAATGAAATTGCCTTGAGATGGCGAATACCCAAATTCACACGCATTGTCCTGTTTCTGGATGTCGTCCGCGAGAAATTCATTGAGAACCAACTCAGTCTGGAAATGCTCGATGCTGCCTTCAACTACGTCAAGGAGCCATTGCAGGATGACCACAAGAACAAGAGGAGTTCCTTGATTATGAGTACGGCCTTATACGACCGAAATAATTGGACCATCGCCGACTTTGCCTTGATGGGCAGGCTTCTCAACACTATCTACGAGACTCTACTTCGAGATCTGTACGAGGTCATCATGACTTCCTACGCTGACAAGGCCCAATTACCAAGGCTGGGGGCTATTATGGCAATCATAGATGACCACATACGAAGCGATCCCAATTTCAACCACAACCCCGAAGACTTCGAAAACTTTAAGAATGCTGCGATCGATGGACTGGCCACCGAGGCGCGGAAGATTTACGACTCTCTTCTGGATCGGGAACTTCCCCAAGAAAATGAAAAGTGGGAATTTTATCACATCCAGCAGTTGGCAAAAGCTGTGTTGAAGCTGGCAGAAAAGGTGCAGAAGAGGTTCAGAAAGAACCCGGAAATCCTCGGTATCAACCCTTTGATGATACTGATCAATTGTACCCTTCCAACCTTTGCAGAGGACTCAAAGGCAATGGTGGAGCAAATTCTCAGTGTTGCCGAGAAAGACGGATTTGAGGTTACCATTCAGGATGGGTTTGATTTGTATAAGG